AAAGATAAATTTTAACTTAGGGCTTTTAGATTTTGGATGCACCTGCAAAGTCCAATAAAAATCCATTATGCAGTAATCTCCACAACCATTTATTTACTGGTCAAACCTTATAGGATACTGTATGGTACAGGCTTGTTTAACTCCCGATAAATGCTGATATATTTCTCATAAGCCCCAATAAAAGTCGCTTGTTGTGTATACAGCTACATTTACTATTTATTAAATATCTGCATATTATTATAAAATCACATTGGTCAAATGTAAGGTATTTCCCATAAACACAAATAAATCTTTCATTTGTTAAAGATTTTATATGAAGTCACTGGTGCAAACACACATCACAGGCTTTTAAAATTTTTTTTTATTGGTTGTTATTGGATTGCAGTACTAGGGTTCTATTCGCTCTGATCCTATACAGAGGCTGCACTCTCTACAGCAGGTATTTGACAAATGTTCAGAATATACATACATGCATGTAGCTGCTCGTGAATCACACCACCTGGAAGCTAGCACGCAAATTATCGACTTATGCAATAAAAAAAATACTAGGCGACGTGTTTTTATCTGCACATTTCGTTTATGCAAATAATTGGATCTGCACATGCCTCAATTTTGCATAAAAAATAAAAAAATATTTGCGATTTGCAGGACGCAGTTGGATAGTGATATTTTGGCAACAAAGGCATATTTGCAACTGCACACAGTTTTAATAAACTGCACATTATCGAACTTAATTGCACAATCAAAATTTCTATCTGCACAACTTTATTTAACTAATAAATCAATTAATAGGAATAATCCGTATTGTAGCTACGAGTACTCATGCACTGCGCATGTCCAGCTGTTGACATCGCTTATAGAGGGCGTCAAGCCTTGGGTGGGAAAGTTTAAAAAAATTCTCAAACAAACATAAAACATTCATGCACTTTTACTCTCCGTTTTCGTATTTTATATATAATAAGGACTTACTTATCAATTAGGAATTCGTAAAAAAAGCACATGCTCAATTTGAACAGTTCAAATAGAAATACAAATTTCATACATATATGTGTACATGCGAATGCAAGTGAAGTGGTGCAGTCTGCTATGTCTGCTTCATGGCATTGATACATTCTGCATATTTTACACATATACTTTACATTAACCATGAAGCTAGGTTGCAAAGTTGACTACCTCAAATTTGATGTACTCCTTTACTCATGTAGCTGGTATAGTAGTTTTCCTACGAGTTTGAAAAGTCTCTGTTTGCGAACCGAGAGGTTTGCGGCCCGAGCCAAAGGCGAGGGACGTAACGAGGTTCGTAAAGGAGACTTTTCGAACGAGTTCCGGAAAACTGCTTTTTTGCCCGAGGCAGTACCAGCCTCCCAAAACCACCCGAGGGCGGAAAAAAATATTTTGAAGGGTATGCTAAATGTCGGCATGGAGATCAAGATCAGGTCTTGTGTCAAAAGGCAGCGCTGGGTGAGAAAGTTTACCTGCAGATGCAGACCCATCTGCTTCCGTATCATTTGATTTTTAGCTGAACAGGACGAGCTACAGTTTGTTGTTACTGGTAGTGTCATTGTTAGGTAGGTGGATTTACTTGATGTAAAGATGCTAAGGGTCAAGATTTTCCAAATTGTCCAAGAATGAGGTACTTCTGGTTGACCTAGAACTATTTAGTACCTACAGGTGGACGTGTAGTAGCTACTAAGTATAATTTTTTTGAAATAAGTTGAAATTATTTTGTAGGTACCGAATGGATAAAATAAGTTACTCTTATCCATAAGACGTAGAAAAAATCTAGCATCTTATTGGATGGGGCCTGATTCGTGGTGGAAATTTAATGACGGACCAGAACTGATTTTTGAATACAAAACAAATTACTAAAATTATGCACAAATTTTGTTTTCCGGCTGATCCAGTCAGGTTGTTCTTCAAAAGTTTGCTTAATTATTTAATAAAAATTGTTATTTGGCTAACTAGGATGTTTATTTAATTAATCTTTATTTCCTGATAGATTGTATCAATTGATGTTGTTGGCAAACAAACTCTGTAAGTTGTTAAATGACTATGACTGGGATCGACTCACCTGAAATACAGTAAATAATTTATTCCGAATGACAGAACATCACAGGATCTACCCTTCAACTCTGGTCCTAGACACACATACTGCTATTATGAAAGAAAAGCCATCGATTATGAATACGGAATCAATCAAATAAAGTTTCCTTCTACAACTATAATTTTTTATATCATTTAATGACCATCAATGTGGAATCAAGGTACGGAATTTCTGCTACAAGAAAAAATGACATGACATTATTTTGGCTTTCCCACCAGGAAAAAAAAAATTACACGTGTTATATTATTCCTAGTAGTATACTGAGATGAAAATAATTTTATTTAACTATATCAAAGCATACAATATTTCAGGATCTGAATTTTTTAGTTGATGATTATATTCAGCATACTTGCCGTTTATTCTGATTCATGATGTAAAATGATTAGAATTATACATTGTTATTACTGATTGCGCTTTTAAAAATTTTTTCTTTTATGATCATTGTTTTTCCAGGCTAGATTAACTAATTTTATTCCTAAAATATCGTGAACTTCCCACCCTTGTCAACGTTATGCGTTTTCGAGGTAAAACTATTTTAACATAAAATTTGCATTTTATCATTCAATGGTGTTGTGTGTTGCATAAATAATAAAGGCTTTTACACTTTAAAGTGGAATAATTTTATTTGTAAATTATTACTTTACAGTTACTATTAATAAAACCGTCGACTGTTTATAATTAAAAATATAAACAAAGAAATAATTTCAAATTATTTCACGTTACAGTGAGATTTAATTTTTAAGTAGAAATAAATGGCAGATTTTAACCGAACAAAACTATTGGGTGCATAATGCATATCATATTAAGGTAATAAATGAAAACGTGGCTTAAGTTTAATGCGTCAGAGAAAACAGTAAACACTGCGCCCTGCGGTGCAAAGTGTAAGTGGAACGGCGGCTAGTACTTCAATCGCTTAACAACGCAATTTAACACTAAACTCCGTTTTTATATTTGCGTGGATTTAACTTTTCGATATTAATTTTCAGTCATTACGATCAACATCTTGCATTCTAATATTGCACTTTAATAATGGTTCAGAAGGTGCAAGTGTGGAGCGGTCCTTAACCTCCTCACTCCAACTCCTCAGCGGACTCCAAAACCAGAAATTTGTTTATTTTATTGAGTATTCAAGTACTGTTCGCATACTTATTACTTTTTGCTGAGGAGCTTCAAAAATAAAAAAAAACATAGTGAAAGTGTGCAAGAGTATGTAGCGGATAACGTTCTCGATTGCATCTGTATACGTAATACTAAAAATCTTGTACTCTGTCATATAACAATATTGTTTACATAGTACTTTTAATAGGTGAGTATGCATACACTACACTTTTTGTCTTAAGATAACATTCACCTTTTAATACCACTTAGTAGTATTATTGACACATATTAATCCTAAATAACTAATATTAATGATTTTTACATAGATATGTGCACCAAATTTGTTCAAGTATATTTACAAGTTGTTTTTAACTTAAGACACACTTAACATACACAAGTGAGTGTATCTTCACACTACAATTATCAACTTTTTTTCTATCCTTACAAAGATCATTTCTCTCTTCCCATAAACCATGTATTGACCTGCAAAATGCCACATAATGTTCGTAATCTTGTATGTAGCTAATTACACCTGTCAGCACAAATAAATTGTCATTAATGTTTAGTTGCACTGGTAAGACATTTAAATTTGTAGTTGTGTTTGCAGTGTCAATACCATATTTATCTTCAGCCCAAAGAGATTTTTGATATGCAACTTCAGTGTCAACAATTAAATATGATCCCAGCTTATAATTGAGTGTAACACTCACTTGATTACATTGAATACATAGCTTTTTGCTCTCTCTAAAATGTGCTATCAATTTTTTTTCCAGATTGCTGTAGTTGTCAAACCAAGCAATTTCACCATTAGGTAAGGGTACTAAAAATTTTTTCATTGTATTGTAGTGACCACAATTTGCACAATGAACGTTTTCCAAAAAACTTTCGCATCCACTCATTAATCCTTCAATTAATGTACTTATGTTGCATTTACTGTCAACTTCACCATTTACAGTTTTGAATAATGACGACAACAAGTAAGCTCGAGATGTGTATAGTTCAACGTTTGACCCATTGACAGCATACCTCGTCAGCGTTGTCAGATAGCACAAATTTTGAAGACTTTTAATTTTAGTCTGCTTCTCTTGGATAAAACATCTAAAAGCCTCTGTTGTGCAGATACCATTGCTTAAAACTTCTGTAAGTGAGTCAAATGGACACGTATTTATAAATCTGATAGGATTACTAAAAACTTTTCTGGCATTACAATTTTGTCCATTTTTAATGACTGCCTTAATTTTTTTAGCACAGTTTTTTGGTCGTTGCAAAAGCAAGGAAAGTTGTGGCTCTGGTGTAAGGTATGTACCTCTTGAATGTATCGGATTGTCACATTTTGGATTGGGATTACACGCAGTCTTAATCCCATCATGCTTTAATGTCTCGACCTCCTTCTCCATATTTGCAGTCTCTTTTAAATCAATATTGCCACACTCAAAAGTTGAAGATGATAAAAGACTTTTTTCATTAAAATCAATTATACTCTCACTTTTCTCAATATCAATCAGCTCGCTGCTATCACCTAATTCGGAATCACCACTTTTTATATCTGGATTTTTGTTTTTCCATTCCTCAATAGCATAAAAATGATCAGTATTCACTGGTGGAGTATCCTTTTTTTTCAATGTAACCACAGTAGAAGCTTGATGGTTAATTATTTGAGACCGAATAATTTTAAATTCTTTATTTATTTCTTCACAATGTTTTGTAAGAAGCACATCTAATCTTTCTGGTGTTTTGTTTTTAAGTATATACTTTTTGAATTGTTGAAAGTATGTTTCAGATCTAGCAGAAGTGGCAACGACTCTTGGATTTTCAAAGTATGAGTTCATCACATTTGTCCAGCACGGAAATTCTTTGCACAAAATCATTAGGTGATCGCCAAAAGCAGGTAAAAAGTAAACGTTTTCTTGATCCAGATAATCTAAGCTGCTGTTATGATCAGAGGATTTCACACTACATCGAATATTTTGTATAAATTCATCCACTACAGTTTTTACCTTTTTGTTTTTATGATTTTCATCGATGTATTTAAAGTCATCTTCAAAATTGTTTTCAGAATTTTTTGTGGCATCACAATTTACAGCATCATCGAATTGATAAGTGTGAAGTCTTTCTTTTATAAACTTAAACGCTTTTGCACACTCATCATTATAAAATCTGTTATAGCACAATGTTAATATGTTGCTTAAAAATAAAGTAAAGTTTTGTAAATTTTCTACAACAGACATGAGTCCAACACATCTCTTGTATATTTCTTTGACTTTAGATACAGCGTGATTTTTTAGACACGGCCATTGTACAACTGCATGAATGAGATGGGCTATATCAGTTCTCAGTTGAGTATTTAGCTGCAAGTATGTATTTCCTAACAGAATTAATAAACAATACTCATTATACATATTGAATGATTTGTTGTTGAATGCCATACAGATGCCGTGTTGTAGAGCCTTGCCCATATCTGTCACTACCTCTCTGGGTAACTTGGCACCGGATGCCTGCCATTCTCTCAGCCAGTAGCAAAGGAAGTTGCTGTTATTTTTTTCGGACAACACTTGAGTTAGAGGAACAATGGTTTTATCAATGTACGTACACAGCACACTCAAAAAAATATGACTGCTTTGCCCGCTAGGAAAAGTGATTTTGAGGGCTACAGAGCCGGTTGCATCTAAAGACAGTGGGTTATCAAGCAGCTCCAAAATATCATTATGGATTTCCAATTGTTCTTTAGACCAGTAAGTGACGTAGGCTTTATTGTATCCAATGTTCTTGATGTATGCTCAAAGTTGGATGTTTGGTGTTTTTGTTTGTTATTTACTTTTTACTCTTTCTCTCTCTGGACCTGCTAAGCGTCTTTTATTATTATGTAATATTTCTTTGGAGTCGTTGGTAAGAATTTGAAAATAAACATCTTCTCCATCGACAGGTTTTAGAAAGCACCTAGCTACTAAATAGTTTTTACATTCCTTGCAAAAACCCTCCAAAAAAATAAAACATGTGGTATTTCCTACTCTTTGGTTTTTAAAATTAAAGCAGCAGGGCAATTTTTTGGCTTCACACACAGCTTTGCCAATGACATCTGCCCATCCTCGTTTTAAAACTTCTACAACCCTCTGGTTGGCGTACACTTGAAGCACAGGTTTGATAATGTCATACTCAGTTGAAGAAAGTTTTACTGAAAATTCAATTTTCCGTTCATCGATTATCAAACTCCATTTAATCTTTTCATCCAGGTAATCACTATCATCACATTTTTCATCCGATGAACTCGTTTCTTCAATTTTACGATTGTCTTTAACAGACTTTTCTTTTTTCTCGGAATTTTTAAGTAAATATTCTACCATAAGATTTTTATTTTCCAAGTAAAAACTTCTAATACCATGTCTATCTCCATAAACCATAAGGTATAAATTTGTAATGGTAATTTGTTTCTCAAAATGTTCAGTTAAATCTTTCCACACTTTATCACTTCTGCTTTTTAATCGACACGTATCATCAAAGATATCAAATTCAAGGATTTTTTTTTAATTTCATCGGGAGGCACAGCTGGCTTTGGGCCAGGCATTTTTAATTAATCAATTCAGTCAAGTTTTTTAAATATTCACCTAATAGTAGTAACTTTCCAAAATACTAATCATTTTACACCGCATTACTACGTTTCTCACATGCTATTAGCATTTTCAATTGATTGTAGATATTGCAAGTTGAAACGTGTCTATACCAGTAACCGTCTTGAAAGCTTAGAAAAATTTAGGTATATTTACAAAAATGTTTAAAATATCACTTATTATTAACATATAAATGCTATTTATTCAACAAAACATGATAAAATTTTGAATAATTTAAAAAAAAATAGAAAGCGCTGGCCCATGCAAGCTTTGCTAATCAATCCCCCCGACTGTGGTTCGTTTATTTATTTTTTATGATTTTCTAATAAAAATGAAATTTCGTAATTTTTACGGTAGTTGGAATAATTCATATTTTTAATAAACTAACTTTAAAAATTATTTTTACATTTTTCAACATCTTATGTTTGAATTCTTTCGCCTTCTGTATTCCAACCAATCACAAACATGTAAAATGGAAACTTTTGGACTTTGGAGTCTTAGGCTGCACTCACTAAGTCTGAAGTACTTAGGTTTATAAGATCCAGACAAATGAAAACTTTTTATAGCTAGTTTTATAAAGAACTTCTGTTGAAATATAGTTTATTCATCGTATGATACGTCGTATATTATTTAAAAACTATTATGTTAACATGAAACAGTTAGTAAGTCAGAGTCACTCAGAGAATCCAACAAGTATATATTTACTTTATCTCGCTTATTTTACATTAAATAATAGTAAATATAATACTGCTCTTGTATTTATATTTTTTTTTCTTCATTAATGAAATTTTTTTTAAACACAATCCCTGAACGAACTCGAACATAGTTCAAATTTTGCCCGGGTCTTAGGGTGCGTGTACATGAGGTCTTGAACTTCTAGGACCAGTCCCTATGCCCCTGTAAGTGCGACAAAGAGAGTATGTGTTCTTGCTTCTCACTCGCCCTCACACAGGCTTATGGCTAGTCCTGGAAGTTCAGGACTCCATGTATACGCAGCCTTAGGCTATAATAATAATAATTATTATTATAATAATACGCAAGCGACGCGCACTCGCTCGCCACTCGCGCTAATGTTCGATATTGTGAATTAATTGTCATTGAAAATAAGCCATTGCATTAAAATTAGAAAAATCACTGTATTTATTTAACGACACACATTGGTCTTGTAAAAAAACAGCTTGGAGATGGTATATTTGTGTTACGGAAAAAAAATTAATTGTACTTTCAGAAATTATTTTTACGTGTAATGTCTTACTCAGCTGCGATGATCACGAATTAAAGAATGTTGTTTTTTTATTCTCAAATATTTTTTAAACAAAAAATGCTTATTATGTTGTTAAAAAGTAAGGTCGATATCCCAGTACTCGGTCATGTCCCAGTAGTCGGTCATCTGGATGATTTTTTCACTATAAATTTTCAAAACTTATATAAATCGGGTAGCTATTCATACACTAAGCAATTACTCTTTCAATACAAGTTAATGTATAAACCCAATTGAAAATATAACGAAGGCCCATAAAAGAAAAAAAGTGACCGACTATTGGGACATTTCGTCTGCTTAAG